AAACGGTTAGGAAACGGGAAATGAGTCTGACCTGAGGACCAAGAATTAATTGCAGATTATTAGAATAAAAGTATTGGAGAGGGGGAATTAGCCACTCGTTTTGAAGCTCCTTGCCGAATGGCGGAGCTGAAATTGTACTTTGTCAGTGCGAGCTCTTGCACCTCGCAGCTCAGGGTGAGGCGATGAAGATAAAGAGAGAAATGTAAAACACTGTGGAAACCAACCTCTGGGGACTTAATATTCTGATCAGCTCACCTCCAAACATCTGGCTCTTAAATGTTCAAGCGCAAAAAACAAGAGAGCTAATGAAAGCAGTGCATATTATCTCTCCCATCAATGCACCTCACAAACACCTGCTAAAATTAAAACAAATTGAATCTTGATTGCTGATTAAGTACCCCCTTCTTTAGCGAGATATTCTGCCATTATTTGCCCCTGGCCCACAATGCGGAAGATGATGAAATAGGTAGCCGTAGGCTGAAGGAGCAGAGGTTGTGGAGAGGCGATGAAGATTGAGACAGAAACAGATCGACATTCAAGGTGGGAACCTCCCGGAAAGTTATGACTAAGGAAGCGGTCCCTTGCTCAACCGACCGATGGTCCAACCCTCTCAGCTTTCTCTGTCCAACAGAGTGGGCAGCCAGCTCCCTAATAACATAGGATGAGTTTGCTGGATCAGGCCAGCACCCCATGTAGTCTAACATCCCGTTCTCACAGTGGCCAACCAGGTATGGAAACCTGCAAGCAGAACCTGAGTGCAATAGAAGTCTTCCACCCCCTATGGCTTCCAGCAACTATTGCTGCTTCCAACTTTTGAAGCAGAGCCTAGCTCTCATGGTTAATAGCCATCAATAGTTCTCTCCTCCATGAATTTGTCTAATCTACTTTTAAAGCCATCCATGCTGGTGCTCATTAGTGCTTCCTGTGTGTGCTGGGCCCGGGGGTAACCCGAGAAATGCGGTCCAGGTCCGGTCCAGAATCCGAAGGTTCCGCTAGGAGTCAGTCTGACAGGGCCAGGGCAGGACACGAGGCAGGAAACCAGGCAAGGACAGGGGCAGGATCTCAGGCAGGATCTGACATACAGCAATGTTGCTCCCACAACCTGGGGCGGGGTCCGACAGCCTTTTATCTTTGTTGGGGTAACGGCCGGTCCTGATCCCCCGGTGACTCACCTCCCTGTTTCACCCAAAGCTGAGCACTTCTCCTGAGAGTACTCAGGTCTCTCCTTCTCTCAGACCTTAGTCTCTGCAGCTCGGGAGACGTCGGTGGGTTACTAGACCCAGGGGCCACCTCAGCCTCCCCTGACCAATCCGGTAGTGGAGCAGCTGTAAGTGATGGCCCAGCTGGAGGCAACAAGGTAATCCCTGCATCTGGAGCCAGGGCAGGCTCAGGCCCCTGACTCGGCCCAGCTGGTGTTCTTTGCAGGGGAACCTGTGCAGACTGGGACTCTTCAGGATCAGGTCCCAGACTTGGTTCAGATGATGCCTGAGGCAAAGGATCCGGTGCAGACTGAGACTCTTCTGGTTCCAAGTCTGAGCCTGAGTCCCAGGCCATCACACTGTGGGAGTGAGTTCCATGGTTTAACTATGTACTCTGTAAAAGAAGTATTTTATTGTATGTGCCCTGAATCTTCCAATGCTCAGCTTCATGAATGTCCACAATTTCTAGTGTTATGTGGGAGGGAGAAACACTTTTCTCTGTTTCCGTTTTCTCCACGCACATCAAACGCTTCTATCTTTCCCCCCTCTCTTACTTGGTTTTTCTCTAAACTAAAAAGTCCCAAATGTGTCAACCTTTCTACAGAAGGAATTCACTCCACCACCTTGATCATTTTGGTTCACAAGAAAGACACAAAGGTTCCCTTGTTGTTTGCCCTCAGTACCTAATATTTAGGTGGGAATCAACCAGCCTTTTTGATCAACCAGCCCAGCATTGTTTAAGCTGATGGGGGGGCAGCTACAGACTTGGCCACAATAAGGAAATTTTGCCCATGGTACGGTTATTTTCCACCTACCCATTTCGACTCTCTGGCACCCTATCTGCATAACCTAGCAATTCGAAAATATAGACGCGCTTTTACCCTCGCAAGATTGAATGTATTGCCGTCAGCTGTACTTATAGAATCATAGAATCATAGAGTTGGAAGAGACCACAAGGGCCATCGAGTCCAACCCCCTGCCAAGCAGGAAACACCATCAGAGCACTCCTGACATATGGTTGTCAAGCCTCTGCTTAAAGACCTCCAAAGAAGGAGACCCCACCACACTCCTTGGCAGCAAATTCCACTGTCGAACAGCTCTTACTGTCAGGAAGTTCTTCCTAATGTTTAGGTGGAATCTTCTTTCTTGTAGTTTGGATCCATTGCTCCGTGTCCGCTTCTCTGGAGCAGCAGAAAACAACCTTTCTCCCTCCTCTATGTGACATCCTTTTATATATTTGAACATGGCTATCATATCACCCCTTAACCTCCTCTTCTCCAGGCTAAACATGCCCAGCTCCCTTAGCCGTTCCTCATAAGGCATCGTTTCCAGGCCTTTGACCATTTTGGTTGCCCTCCTCTGGACACGTTCCAGTTTGTCAGTGTCCTTCTTGAACTGTGGTGCCCAGAACTGGACACAGTACTCCAGGTGAGGTCTGACCAGAGCAGAATACAATGGCACTATTACTTCCCTTGATCTAGATGCTATACTCCTATTGATGCAGCCCAGAATTGCATTGGCTTTGAGGGACAGTTCCAACAGATTCCACACGAAAAACGCTTATGTCCCTGTGGAGATGGCAGTACCGAATTGGTGGCGCATGCCCTTCTGTCTTGCCCCCTTTATAAAGACTTGAGGAATGAGATTATCACCCCTCTTTTGTTGTCCATTCCAGGTCGGCCAACCACTGCCACAGTGCCCTCTCTCGACAGATCAAGATGAGCAGGTGAAAGCAAAGGTTGCAAGGATTTTAGCTGGGGAAATTAGAATAAGGTCCACAATTTGACTGTTGATTCAGGAGCCTAAAGTGTTTTTTATATAATCGATTTTTTTATTTCTGTTCTTTGTATATATCGTTGTGGTTTTGGCCGAGGGCTGACGCAAATAAAGATTCATTCATTCATTCTCAGGCAGAGATCTCCCATGCACTTGATCCTTTTCACCAGAGATCTGAACCTGGGGCATTCCGTTGTTGCCTCGCTGAGCCCTGAGCTGGATCAGATGAATGGAGGAGGGAAAAGGAATTTGTAGCTGTGGCCAGAGCAGGCATGCACTAGCCTTCTGTTATCTATTGGCCTCTTTTATTCACCTTTGCAGCCCAACTCTTTGTTTTAGAATATAGGTCCCAGGGCTGCATTGTTCATTAATTAGTCTGTGAGTATCAACATTCACTCTATTTCTCTTATGTACCTGGGTGTGTTTATACAGTGGTACCTCGGGTTACAGACGCTTCAGGTTACAGACGCTTCAGGTTACAGACTCTGCTAACCCAGAAATAGTACCTCGGGTTAAGAACTTTGCTTCAGGATGAGAACAGAAATCGTGTTCCAGCGGCGCGGTGGCAGTGGGAGACCCCATTAGCTAAAGTGGTACCTCAAGTTAAGAACAGTTTCAGGTTAAGAACAGACTTCCAGAATGAATTACATTCTTAAGCCGAGGTACTATTGTATTGTTGTTGCAAACCACTTTGATATTTTTAAAATGAAAATCAGTACAGTGGTACCTTGGGTTAAGAACTTAATTCATTCTGGAGGTCCGTTCTTAACCTGAAACTGTTCTTAACCTGAGGTACCACTTTATCTAATGGGGTCTCCCGCTGCTGCCGTGCTGCCAGAACACGATTTCTGTTCTCATCCTGAAGCAAAGTTCTTAAACCGAGTTACTATTTCTGGGTTAGTGGAGTCTGTAACCTGAGGTGTCTGTAACCTGAAGCTTCTGTACCTCGAGGTACCACTGTAATGGTTTAAAACATTTTTTACTTTGATCTACCCACTCATTCTTTTTTCCTTACCACCCCCTGTTTAAATCAAAAGATAACATTTTCTCATATACTTAAAAAATTGGGGTTCCCTTCTTCTGTGACCAAGCTATTGCCCTACGTCATCAGATTACTGAGAAATGAAAAGGGATCACATGCAATTGGCTGAGAAGGTATCAAATAAGTCAATTCATTTCATCTCTTAGGTTTCCAGACCGCTGTCACAATTTGAAACCATTTTAATTTTGCCTGCTACTTGGATGAAGGGTTTGGTTTCCCAAATTACACAAAGCTTCTCATCTCCTTGCTCTCCTTTGTTAGGCTTGAAATCCATCTGGGAACAGGGCTTTTGAAATGAAGTCGACACAATTAGCTGGAATAGGATCCTGTCTAAGAAAACCTCTAGCACTGTTTCAGCTATCATTGGGGGAAATTCTATTAAAATGGTTTTACACTCCAGTCAGAATGGCACCCAGTCAGGGAACAGGTAATAAGTTTTGTTGGTTGATTGTGGCTCCACTGGGACATACTGGCACATTTGGTGGCCCTGCCCAACATTTTACACCCTTTGGCATTAATTTCTGAAATTTGTGTCACTGTTGGTCAACCATACATGTGAACCATGTCTTGTGCTTACTGTCTATTTTTAAAGGGGGTAACTCTTTGTTTTGAAGCCTCCTGTTATTTACTTCTTGCTGCTTTCCAGATTTGTAATTGCCCAGAACAGGAAAAATGTCTCAAGCCTCTGAGCACCTGGATCATAGAATCACAGAATTGTAGAATTGAAAGGGACCATGAATCATAGAATCATAGAGTTGGAAGAGACCACAAGGGCCATCGAGTCCAACCCCCTGCCAAGCAGGAAATACCATCAGAGCACTCCTGACATATGGTTGTCAAGCCTCTGCTTAAAGACCTCCAAAGAAGGAGACTCCACCACACTCCTTGGCAGCAAATTCCACTGTCGAACAGCTCTTACTGTCAGGAAGTTCTTCCTAATATTGAGGATCATCTAGTCCAACCCCTGCAATGTAGGAATCTTTTGCCTACCATGGGGCTCGAACCCAGGAACCTGAGATTAAGAGTCTCATGCTGTACTGACTGAGCTATCTGTTTGCCACGTTGTATTACATATCGCAGAAAAACTCATCCACCACTTGCAAATATTAGGTTGAAATGCAGAACCTGAATACTCTGCAGTTCTTCGGTGGTTTATTATGAGTTGTGTGTCAAGGTCCCCAAGCCACCCCTCAAATAACTCACAACTCACACATAATTTTTTGTTTAAGGTTTTTAGCATAATTTTTGGCCACAACTTTATTAAAATACATATCTGTGAGTGGTTGCTTAGGCATTGTTTAAGACTATCTGTCCCCCCGCCTGGGACAGAACTGACTTCCGAACTCCCTCGGAAGCCAGTGAAGGGAAAACAATATTGGGGAGCGATGGAGCTGAGTCACAGGCCCTCACTGCTCACCCACGTGCTCCCCAGGGCTTGCCGGCCCTAGTCCCATTTCAGGGATTGGACAAAATCATGGCAAGTCCCTGGATTCCTTTAACAGAATTCCCTTCTGCACCACCATTGGAGGGGCAGGCCCAGCCTATCCTTACCCCTCCTCCAACCAATTTTTATAACCAATGCCTAACCGCAACCTTACAAGTTGTGATGAATTGCTATGTAGTAGGCAAAAACCAAATGGCACCAGCCAATCAGCCAAATGTACAAAATTCCTACCAGGCCCCTGCCCCAACGGCAGACGACCCCATGACAGGCATGGCAAGGTCAACCAGAACTCAGGGCGGGTGGGCGGGTGATCTGATGCACTCAGAGAAAGAGAAAACAATAAGCTGAGTGCCCCAATATTTAAAGCCTTCGGTCTCACCCACCACATCGCAACATGCAATTTGCCCCAGCAACCCGGCCATCCAATCATTGCCCCAGGTCAGCCTTCTTTTAACCCTGCCTGGCAACAGAGGGATGGCTCGGCAGACCCCACCACAACACGTGCTCTCATTTCAGGGAGAACACACTATATATGAACACTTGTTCCCATTTAAACCTTGTACCTGCCAAATATTGCTTTATATAGAAATATTCATGACATCTATATATTTATCTACCGGTATGTTCAAATAACTTGTTGTGCCTTTGGGTCTTCAATCAGATTGCATGACAACCTCTTGCCACCCATGTCCATACACTCCCTCTCCTTCCTATTTTTCTTCTTCTCATCCCTTCCCCACAGGGCGAAAATAATGAATAGCCAGGATGCTGGACTAGATGGACCACTGGCCTGATCCAGCGGACTCTTTCAATGTCATTTTTTATTTTTATTTTTTGTTACTTAAAGAACAAGCAGTTTGCTTACTTTGCAATGCACGATCCCTATTGTCAAGGCTCGGTTGATGGCTGAGTGTTTATTTTGATTAATATTTTTATTCACAATAAAACGAAATGAAAATAAATTTGAGATCTTGAGCTAGCTCAAGTAGATTTCCAGAATGTAAAGCGCTTGATAAACATGGCTGTATTTATGACCCTGCCACATTCGTTGTGCTGTTAAAGTAATCAAGTCGGAGTCTATCCATAACTATACAAGTAAGAGGGAAAACAACACTGTATAAATCCTTCTTGTTGACACCATCTACAAAATCTTGGATTTTCCTATCACTCACAGAAAGGTCGCCGTGGTACCTGTGTCTGGTGTATGCTTCTCATCAATGGTTATTATATCCTGAACTGAGAATTACCTTCCACAATGTCAGAGCAGAACCTTGAAACAAAAAAAGGAAAATGAACGCCCTGAATAACTCACTATTGCTTGACTTCTCGGTCTTATTGCATTCTAAATTATTTAAATATACTATTAGACATTATATTGGGGGGGCACAGAGGATGGAGAAGGAAACAGATGTTTTCTAATTATGAACCGATTTTTACAGTGCGATAGTGTCACGTATTTAAATTACAAATACAGATTTTTTAGCATTCCAGCTGTGCTTTACAAGGGTTTAATTTGCTTCTTCTGATATGTCACATCGCACCTGCCTTTTAAAACTCCCGTAAATGTAAAACATTTGTCAAGCGCACTTATTAAGGCATGCAGAAGAAATCGAAAGGATCCTCACAAGAGGAAGGAAGGCAGCCATGGAAAAAGCCAGTGCCGAACAAAGTAAACAGGTTTCGAAATAACATTTACAAATATTTGGGAGGTGGGCAATGAGGTTCTAAAGGATACGTTGATGCGTATTACTGCTGCGGCAAAAAAATTAGCTGGCTCTTTCCTCCCAATCATTCTCCATCCATATACAAGGGGAGTGGATTGCACTTGCAAATTACTAAGGGGACGGAAATGCTTCATGAAATTCTTGTGAGCACAGTGCAGGGTCTGTTGGGCTTATCAAACTTGCAAGGTGAGCAAGGGGGTTTTGTGAGTGACCTTTCTTTCATTCCACAGATCATCTCTCCAGTGATCTGTCCTCTGCAGCCCTCCTGGATTCCTGTGCTTCCTGAAAACCCCCGGCTGGAGTCCTCAGCTAGACATTCCTGTAACCGCCAGGAGGTGAGGATGTTGCTTACCATGTGCCTGACAGCTGGTCTTTTCTTTCTTTCTTTCTTTCTTTCTTTCTTTCTTTCTTTCTAGAAATCAGAGAGGAAATGTGTCATAAGGAGGTTAGGTAAAAGGAAGAACCCCCCTTAAGAATCAACCAGACCTTCCAACATTTTATAAAAATTCGGGCACGTGTCTTTTGAGAGCCAGTGTGGTGTAGTGGTTAAGAGCGGTAGTCACGTAATCTGGGGAACCGGGTTCACGTCTCCGCTCCTCCACATGCAGCTGCTGGGTGACCTTGGGCCAGTCACACTTCTTTGAAGTCTCTCAGCCCCACTCACCTCACAGAGTGTTTGTTGTGGGGAAGGAAGGGAAAGGAGAATGTTAGCCGCTTAGAGGCTTCTTAAAGGGAGTGAAAGGCGGGATATCAAATCCAAACTCTTCTTCTTCTTCTTTTGGTGTGGTCAGTGGCATAGCAAGCCGATCGGGCGCCTGGGCAGTGTGCATGCCATGCACCAAGGGGCAGGGCCAGCCACCTGCAGGGCCTCCAAGGAGTCTGCCTGCCTCCTCCTACTCAGCTGCCCTACAGCTAAGGGGGAGGTGGCGGGTAGACCATTTGGGGCAGCAGGGAGCCTGTGGACGCCCAAGCCACTGCGTCACTCCCAGGAAAGATGCGTGGCTGGGGCATGCTGCAGGCCTTGTGGTGAGTGCCACCTGTCATTTTGTCACCCCCCTTCAGTGGTGACACTCAGGGCAGACCGCCCCCACCGCCCCCCTTCCTCCGACCTTCTGATCAGCAGGCTCAAGAGGCTTAGTGGTTTTGACCACAGCGCTCTAGTCTGAGCTCAATCCCGGGACATCCCAAGATCATATCAGAAGCCTATAATTCTATGAATATTGAATTGAAATACTTTATTGTCACTTGTACAACTTGTGTACAGTAAGATTACACGAGCACCCCCCACTCAGCTCTCTTAGTCTTAATTCCCCTCGTTTACTGACACACACACACCAAACCCGAAAGTCAGTTGCCCTGTTGTTATCTTTTCATTCAGCAGCCTAACAGCCCACGGATAGAAGCTGTTCTTTACCCTGTTGGCATGACTAATCATGCTTCTATATCTTCTGCCTGAGGGCAGGAGATCAAGAAAGTGCTGGCCAGGCTGTGAATCATCCCAGAGAATTTTCCTCACACTCCTGAGGCAACGTTCTTCCGCTATTTCATCCAGCGGATTCATGGGACAGCCCATAATATCTTGTGCTGTATTCACCACCCTCTGTAGGCACTTCCTATCAGTTGATGTCAAACCAGCATACCACACTGTGATGCAGTATGAAAGGACACTTTCTATTGTTGACCAGGCAACAATTCTATCCCAGGCAAAGAGGCATCTAGCTGGCTACTTTGAGAGCAGGATACTGGTTGAGAGGAGCCATTGGCATGATCCAGAAGGTTCTTCTTCTGTCTTAATGTCTAAAAACATCTGTCATGTTTGGTAACCCTGTCCCCAAAGTCTGCTCTTTCAAGGCCTAACTACTACCAGGACACCCATTAAGCCAACGTTCAAAAAGAAGCACAAATGACCATATTTTGATTCAGCAGATCTTGCACTTGTACAACTTCAATTGACTCCAGAGTATGTTTATATATAATATATCCATAAACTTGGGTTAAATGGAGGATAGATCTGCTTTCTTTCAAAAATTGTTTTCTTTCTTTTAATTAGTAGCCTTCATTATATATTTTTTTGCTAATCTCAAAGTTAAGCAGTTTCCAGAGATGGCCTAATCTTTCTTAATGGCTCTGTTGGCGTCATGGACATTTCACCTCCTCTTCACCAAAATGGAATCTTTTCCTGCTTACACATCCTTAACCTGCTCAAGCATTGAAAGCCAATAAAACCAAATGCTTTATTAATTTAGACTTGCTGAATTTGCTGAACAGAAATATTTTCAATTTGATATTTTTATGGAAGCAGCACAGAAAATGTGCCTGGACCTTCTTCTGTGCATCTCAGTGTTTGTCTATAGGTTGGCTTTCACACAATGGGAGCCTAGACTCAAGAACTGAAGAAGAGCCTGCTGGGTCTCACCAATGGCCCGTCAAGGCCAGCAACCTGTTCTCACAGTGGCCAACCAGATGTAAGCAGGAAGCCCGCAAGCAGAAACCAAACATAAGAGTAGCTCCCCTCCTGTGGTTTCCAGCAACTATTATTCAGAATCATTACTGCCTCTGACCATGGAGGTAGCACAAAGCCTACATCTACATTGGCTTCCAACACAATTCAAAGTGTTGGGGCTGACCTTTAAAGCCCTAAACAGATTCAGCCCTGTATACCTGAAGGAGCGTCTCCACCCAGTGTTCAGGCCAGATACTGAGGTCCAGCCCTGAGGGCCTTCTGGCAGTTCCCTCACTGCAAGAAGTGAGTTTACAGGGAACCTGGCAGCGGCCCCCTCTCTGTTGAATACCCTTTCATCAGATGTCAAGGAGGTAAAGAACTACACAAGTTTTAATGACACCACTAACAACAACAATTTATTTATACCCCGGCCATCTGGTTGGGTTT